AAACAAGGTTGTTTCCCTGGGTTGTTCTGCTACGGGGATTGCGGTCAGCACGTAAACGTACTTCTCCCGAAAGGCATCCAGGTCAGCAAGGGACGGGCCTGCAAGAGACAACTTTAACAAGTTACGGCCTCCTAAGGTCCCTATCCTACCTCGTTCCAACTGTAAGTGCTTGAAAATGGCACGCAACATGATTCTCCCTACGGGCATCCCACCTGATGAGATTCTCTCTTGTTCAACCACGTTTTGAAACAAGAGCCCGAACTTACCTTTGCGGCAGGTTTTAAGGAGCTTTGCGGCGACTTCACGATCTAACCGTGGGAAACGCTTGTCCGCGATGAGTTCTTGCTCGGTGGAGGACATGCATGCTTGTGCCCACTGGTAAACTTCATCTCCGGGGGTCTTCTGGAGTCGACCGATGGCCATCAAAACTTGGTTGACGAAACCTCTAGCCTGTCCAGCGTTCTCCGGAGGGGATGGTAACACGAGATCCTTGAGATCCTTGACGCGAACCACGGACTCCTCATATGCGGCGTGATCTACGGCGGTCATGCCTACACTGGGATCGGCAGCTTGAGACGGGTCTGCATTGGGGAACTGGCCAGAGCCTCCCCCGCCTCCCCCACCACCATTCATGGTGAGGTATGGGCAATCCGTGTCTTCATGGCTACCGCCCCAAACTCGACATTGTGGAGCATCATCATCTCCATCGGAGTCTGATGATGAGTCGGAGCTAGCGGCCGATGGCGCTTGTGGGGATGACGAGTACAACCCTCCCAACATTTGGTACTGGCGGAACACGAGTGCCGTTGCCAGCTTTTGGCGGAGGCGGCGCCCCTGCGAGGGGCGTGGGAGGCGCTGGAGGTGGTGCGGCCGGAGGCGGAGGTGGCGGAGCCACTTGATTAGCAACCAATTGGGAAAGCTGCTGAACCATTTCCGCTAAAGCCGTCACTTGCACTCTCACATCGGCTTGATCCCTTGTACCGTCTCTACCCAACCCGCTAGTCCTCGACGCGCCGGGGGCTGCGTCTCCAACAGAGGACGCTGCTCCTAGCACTGCCGAATGGCCTGCGAGATGTTGACTTGTTGCACCCCCACCAGGGTCCCTTGAATCAGCTGGGGCATCGTGACCAAGTCCTGAACTTTGAACAGAACCACACGGAGGGTCGGGGATAGTACTTGTAAAAGCATTCCCTTGCGACGATGCGGCAACACCGGAGGCATCTTGTGAATCTGAAACCTGAGGTGCTCCAACCGGCTGATGGGTTCCTGGGGGAACTGTGCCCTGACTTGAGGCTTTAGCCGCGCTTGTTTCCGTAGCTGTTTCGGCTATTGATGCGGCTTTTGGCGGGGACTCTTGAATCGGAACAGGGGTCGCACGAGCTTGTTGGGTGAGGTGCGCAACAACACGTTCGAGATCACCAAGTCGTTGATGCATCACAGAATTTTCCTGGGACAATCCACGAATGGTATGCTCTTGACTGGCAATGGTTTGTTCTCTTTGCGAGATTGCCTGTTGAGCCTCTTGAACAATGCGTTGAACCTCTTGCTGAGCGTCCTGTTGAGTGGCATTAACAACCTGTCGTGCGTTCTCGACATGGCCAATGGCTTCCTGTCGTGTCTGCTCGATTAGTTGCCTAGCCTGAGCCTCACTTTGTTGTGCTGTTTGTACAGCCTGCTGTGCTTGCGAAGCTAGCTGAGCGGCCTGAACCCTAACGTCTGATACTTCTCTTACAGCCCTTTCCCTGATCCATCCGGCCTCTTGTCTCGCCTGGTCGGCGGCCTGCTGTTGGTGCAAGGCGTGATTGGCTGCCTGAGCAGCGAGGTCGGATGCTCGATGAGCTTGCTGCACCGCAGCTCCAGCTATAAATGCCGCAGCGGGTACGTTAGTCATCGGGTCAGGTAATTGCGATCCCTGTGAAGGAAACTGAATGGCTGGGGAAGCTTCGGATGATGTAGGTTCTGACACGATCGGACCACTCGGGGGTGATGATGGTCGTGTTTGGGCTGCTCGTTGAGGTGTGGATGTGCGAACTGTGGACATAGCTGCAGGAACCATGGCTAGGTCAGGGTCATCCGGTTCAGAATCCCTATTTGGGGTTGACCTTGAACGGGGTTCTGATGGCGGTGATAAGCCCGTTGAAGCCATGACACAGCAATGCAATTTTGCACTCACACGAAGCTAGCTCCACGCGCTTTGAGCAGCGTGTCAAAAGGTGCTACGAGGAGATATCCCTGGATTGGCAGCTGGTTGCGAAACGCTCAAGTGAGCCACTCAAGAAAATACGCCCTGCTGCTTTGCACCTGATGAATTCTGTATTTGTAATTGTACTTGTAGATTGATTGATCCGCACTGCCGCACTATGGTGCTTTATCGAGGGATGTTGCCAAGCTGTATTGAGAATTTGTCTGCAAATCGAATGCCTGTAGCTGCAAAGATGCTGTACCGCGCAAAGCGACGGTTTTAACGGCTTGCAAAGAAAGGCTATCGAAGTACCCGATTGGCGGGCAACTGGGATGCAGACCGATGGAGTTCCTCGAGGTACTGCGATGGATGCAGGCCCCTTGCCGCCGGAATGAAAAGTCGATTCCGGGACTCGATGTACTCCCCAAGGTTCTCAAGCGCGTTGGCAAATCCGCTCGGCCCGAAATGCGGGAAGTTGCGGAACGCTGCGATGCCTGTCTTTTGAGCTTCACGGACAATCGCAGCTGTATCGTCGATGAGGGCGTGGGCACCCAGCCCCTGAAGGGCGTCTGCTTTGCCTCCCCTACCCAACCTTTCGTGTACGATTTTTATCGCAGAGAAAGTGAGTCCAGATGTCGTCCGCGCGTGCTCCAGGGCGACCTGGAACTCGCGGCGGCGATACTCGCTTGCAGCCCTGCCCACGAAGGATAGCACTATAAAATTTATAGGTGCGTAGTCGGCTGCAAATTGAACGAGATGTCGGATCACCTCCGGGTTGAGGTGGGGTCCCTGCTGCCCAACGTCAAGAACTCCGTGCCAGTCAAGAGCGATGGTAAGCTCCTTGGGCGGCACAGGCCTTCCAGGCGGCGGGGGTGGCGCAGGTGGTGGCCTTCTTGGCGGCGATCGAAAGCGTGTGCCAGCCTCGGAAGTTGCAGCGCTAGCAGCAGCTGCTTTAACGACCTGCGGCGGTGGCGGCTTGACGATGTACCCTTGTGGCGGGTTTGAGCCCGATTTGCTTCTGGGTTCGGCTTTGTTCAAACCTCGCGGAGGCGCCTTGTACCCGAATGCACTCTGAGTCCGAATAGGAGACCTTGCTCGCGGCGGGGATTTCCTCGGAATATCTGCTTTTGCCGCCGAAGAAGCTGCACGAGGAAGTTCCTTGGGCAATGGAGGCTTGCTGCCAAAAATGACCTTTGGTGCGGCCTTTGGTGGCGGCGGTTGAATTGCTCCAATCCTCCGGCTATGCAAAGCAATAGGCTCAGTGTGAGTCGGTGCCTCGTATACGCGCCGAGGCACGTAAGCTGACCTGCCAGTTCTGATGGATTCCGCGTCCTGCGGAGGTTCCTCTTCCGAGCTGTAGGCGTCGAGGCGATAGTGCTCCGCTGGCCCTGGGCGTCGATCTGGAGATCGTGATCGCGAGCTTGTGGATGATCTTCTTGGGGGATCTCTCCACGTCTCGTCCGCAAGCGAATACGGGTCAGCCTGACGGAGATGTCCGGATGTCCGCTGTGCTCGGCGGTGAGATGTCGCCTCACGTGGCTGTGAAGCCTCCCGAACGAGTACCCAAGTGCCGTGCTCGTCAAATCGTGTCACAGGGTATATACTGTTCTGTGGAGCCAATACAATGGGCCGTGTGGCAAGGGAAGTCCTGGATGGCCTGCCCTCCCGCGCAAGCGCGGGTTCAACACTGTGTGCCCGATGTTCCACAGGGGTAGCAGCAGTCGGTCCTCGTCTCGGAGGCGATGGAGACCTCGACCTTCGGGGCGATGGGGACCTCGATCTTTGTGGCGACCGTTCCCTGCTGCTCTCCCGCCGCGTTTCCGCAGCTCTAGCGTACACCCCGCGAAGCGCTGTCTTGGCGGCGCCCCGCAACACTTGTCTTTCCTCTGCTGATGGTCGGATGCGAGGCAATGGAGTGCGCGAATCTTGTAGCCAGGATGAAGCTGAAGGAGGCGTCGGAGGGCGTAGCCAGTCCGCTGCACTGCTCGCTGCTTCCGCCGCGCCAGAGGCTGCGGCTTTATCCTGAGATTGCACACCTTGCGGCAAGACCACACCTGCGGTTTCAACCGATGCGAGACGCTGCTGATAAGCGTTGTCCGCGGCCTGGATCGCTTCGAAGGCCTCTTGGTCAAAATCCCACAGGTGCCAATTATCCAATGACTCACGCCAGGAAAAGAGCGCCTCGATCTGTTGCTTCGAGGCGTCTGCAAACCTGACCCACCGGAATCGCCTGTCCTGCCGTTTGTACTCGTCAACGACGATCTGTTGCAGAGTGTTGAATACACGGGCGCGCGGCCCCTTCCCACCGCGAGTGCCGCGGTGAGGGCCGGCTTCCATGTGCGACCAAGCGGTCGCAGTCACGGAGGGGTTTGTTTACCCGAAAAGCGTTACGGCTGATAACCACTCAAAGGAGAGGGAAACACAGTTTTGTCAACAACGGGGGAACCCGGCACCTTAAAAGGAACGAACCCCTCCGTGACTGCGACCTCTCCCTTAACCTTGTGGGTAGCGCGAGCAACGCGCTCTTTTCAGCACTTGAGCCAAATGACATGCGGACATGTCATCTGGGTCCTTGTCATGTTTGTACATCATGCAACTTGTTGCACCTCTGGGCCATAAATGTCATCGTGATAATTGACTTTGAAGCCACCAAACGGGGCCACATAATGCCACATATGTATATATATATATACATATATATACACATATATATATATATATATGTGTATCGTGTATGCTGTTTCTACACATGTCTACGTAAGTGTGTCCTCGAGTTCCCCCAAAAATGACACGCCTGCAGTTTGCCGGGCCCCCCAGCGATCCGCAGCGAGGCGCGGCCCGGCGCTTCTTTCACCACCCGCCGCGCCGTGACGTGGCCCGAAGGGCCCCACAGGCGGCTGGACCCGTCCTCCGAGTGCAAAACCTCCAAGGTACTAGGGCGACCCAAACAGGGAGCCCTCGAAAAGGAGAATACCCTGCAAACAAGAGTTTTGGAGGGTCTATGTCAATTTGTGTAACATGGTTGACATTAACTTGTCCTTCTTTTTGGTTTGTTCTTTCAGCTCAATTCGAGTGACTGTGACCTTAGCCATGGGCTTTGCAGTGCTTTGAGGGTAACCGTTTGGCTGGCCCGTGGGGAAACATACGCTTTCCAAAAGGTGAAAAAGGTTGCAGGTCATGCATCAAAAGGCTCAACGTCTCTCAAAATTACCGCGTGCAATCATGGCGGTGGCATGAAACCTGCTGGGCCCCAAAAAGCAAATCGGCATACTCAAAGAATGGCCCCTTGCGGAGATGAACAGCACCAAACAGGATGAAACAGGAGCAACGGTACCCCTGCTCAGTCCAGGTAGAAGGCCACGGCGTAGACCTTGAGGCCTCGAGATGGACCCAATTTCTCATGCGCACTGGCGACTGGAAAAGGCTGGTCTTGACCATGCTAACGTGAGGACGCATCTAGATGACGAAACCAAAACGCCGGCTCGCCCCGGGTGGATTGTCGGTAGCGGGTCTTGCCCATGTTGAGAGGCTAATTACGTTGGAAGTCGGCTTTGGACAAGTGAAATGACCATTACTTGGCTTGCAGCGGCCAGAATCGGCCATTGAATTCTGGAAGCATGGCCGGCGTGTTCTCCCTCAACTTGCTCAGCAGCTGGGTATGTCAGGCAAATGAAACCCAGGAAGGCCCAAAGGGGTGTCCTCAAATCTCCGAAAAAGCAGACCCAAATGGTTGTTTTGGCCACCCCCAAAAGCAGCATCCCCGAGAATGATTTGCCTCTTGGCATGGTTCAACGCTCTGGGGCTCTGCACCGTACTTCCTCCGCACGCCTCGGCGTGACATAAAACCCAAGCAGTGAAGGAATGCTGCTTGGACTCCGAGCCATTTCTTTCACCCGCCTCGGAAACCTCAAATGGGTTCCTCAGGGCTTTGTTGGAATCAGTGGCAACCCCCGGTAGAGGCTCCAGACAAGGTTGAACCCCCCGCCATTTTATCAGATAAAATAGGGTTAGTCCATCCTTAATGGAAAATAAGATGAAATAGTCCAACTTTGACAGAAAATAAATTGACAAATCACGATTCATGTTGACCTCATTTTGGGGGCTTGGTTTGAACAGTCCAAGTTGGACAAAACGTACTTCCTTTTCATTTTTTGTTTTTAATACAGTCGGCAAAGGTCCAACTCATGTGTATTTTGCACACCCGCTTTTTCACAAAATAAAGTTGGGGTGGTTATTTTGGGCTCACCATGATTTCCTTGAAATCGTCATGGTTTCCGTAAGGCTTTGAGCTAGAATTTGGTCTTGTGTTTCTCAAAATTGGATTCGGACCGAATCCTCCAGGCAGGCTTCAGTTTCCTTTTGGTTTCCAACAGCAAATACGAAGCAAAAGGAGTCCGAAATCCAGTGTGCGATCAAAGTAATGATCCGTTGACCCCCCCCTAAAGTTAACATGGTCCAACTCCACACTGAATATAGTTAGACTTCAACAAATGCCATGTCCAGAACGTAGTTGCCGCAATCCAACATGTTCCAGGCCTTGAATGGACTTGAAAAAACACATCCTGGGGAAGACACGGGTTGCCTCATGCTAATTTGAAATGAGTTCAGTCCAACTTTGACGGGTTTTTCACAGAGGCCAAGATGAGTTTTAATGAAGAAAGGGCTTGGACTAAAATAAAATAGATGACTTATTTTATGGTCCAACACTGTAACACCCCAACTTTATTTTGAACCTGCAACGGGGGTTGTGGCAGAAGAATCGATTGAAAGAATGGATGAGAATTGCAGCCAGAATGCTCCATCGCACACAAAAGGGGAGTAAAACCAGCTTTGTCCATGCCCACTTCGGACCAAGCGTGCAACAGCCACCTTTCTCTCAGAACGCTCGCCGAAATGCTTCGTTCGGGTGCCTTATGGTGCCTTCATGGGAATTGTGTGGCTATCCTGTCGCCCTTCAAGGAGTTCAGCTGGATCGATGCCGGGCGGCCACTGGCCACTAGCTGCTGCTTGCCCATCTCCTGCGGGAAGGCCGCGCCTGCGCGAGGCTTCAGGTGGCCGTGGAGCATGCGACAAGCCCCCCCCTTTCTTTTTTGGCGGGAGATAGGGGTTCATCTTCAGCGGGGAAGATCCCATGGAAAAGCAAAGGTCAGTGAAAACTGGGCGTCCCTCAGAGGAAGGCCCCCAAACATAGCTTCCCTTCATTGTTTTGGCGCGTATGGGTAGCCCACTGGTAGGCCCAGGTCCTCCATGCCAAGGGTTAGGGTGAACCCAAACGCGTGTCAAAACCATCAATGCAGTATGGGGGAAGGATGATGGATCTGCGGACGTCCTGACTTTCTGGGCCAGAAGACTTGCTGAATTCTGCACCGCGCATGAAACTAAGGAGCCTGCAAAATTCAATGGGATCCTTTCACGTCACCTGAAGCATCACACTTCAACAAGCGAAGCTCAATCAGCATTGGCCAATCGTAACGTTCCTTCTCGAACCAAACGGCTGGAGGACTGATTGGTGTCTTCTCACGAAGAGAAGGATTCCTTCTCCTTCAAATTCGTTCAACAATTCCCAGCCACCGTTGAAGCCGAAATTCCCAAACATGATGTCTTCCCATCCACCAATATGGAACCCGCCAGAGGGTCAGTCTGGTCAGGTGGGTTTCATGTTAGCGAGCATGAGGATACCTCGCAAAATCACATGCTTCACTTGCGGGGATGCTCTAAATCAGCTGGTTTAAATGATTTTAAGATGTGATCACCTCATGTCCAAAATGGCATCCTGGGGACCAACAGCAAAGGCTGCGCCTGCGAGGGGCCGACCCTCTGTTGCAACACCCGCGTCTTGGTCCCCGATTCAAGGTGACCGAGTATGGTGGGAGTAGATGGCCCTACTCCCTTGCCCGCTAAGGAGCATAACATCAAAATGGGGTTGTGCCATCTACTTGCCCCCGGCGCCTGTGAGGGGCTCTTTCACCTCCACCGCGCAGAGTGACTCCCAAAAACTCCACACACTGAGACCGAGCAGCAGCACCTCGGGTGGAAAATCGCCCATTTGGGTGTCCTTTTTGACGCTTCAATTCAAAGGAAAGCCAAAAGGACAAACAACTTCTTGTTTTTTGGGAGGGGGGGTCCCCTACAGAAGACGCACCAATTGTCTAATTACTCGGTAGACTTAAACCCAGGATTCCAGGATGGTTCATTTTGCCAGGAGAACCCATGAGTTCAGCTTTGGGTTGTCAAATGATAAAATCAAATTCTGACAAGAGGGGGGCCACCGAAAAGTGGAGGCTTGCCTGCAGGACGCCCTGCTCTCGACCAGGGGTTCAAAGTTGTGTCTGTTCACTTGAATCCAGGGGGATCACAGAAAGTGGCAACTTAAAACTCAACATGTTCCAGAACCATGGGGGATGACTTCAGAGGGGAAGACACTTTCAGTGAAGCCCCGGTCCAAAAGGGCAAAGGGGAATGTTCATTGGCGATCCTTTGGCGGAGATTATTTTCATGAGGATTCATGCCCATCCACAAAATGTGAACAATGCTTTTCCAAAGCCATTTGAATGATGAAACGGAGGTGGCAGTCAAAAACTGCAAAACTGCAGCGTTCAAATGCCCGAAGTGTTGCGCACCTCAACTCTCTGGCAATGGTGTGTATAAGGCTACCGTATCAAGTAATTACAAACTGTCCAAAGGCTGACAGGCAATGGGAAACAAGCTCAAAGGATCAGCTTGACATCTTCACATGGTGACCTGCGCGACTCGTCCGAAGGGCCAACATCCTCCTTTGTTGCACCCTTTTTGGGGGCTTTCAAAGGGAAACCAAAGGGAAACCACCTTCCATGCTGGCAATGTGTGCATTGCGGCGGACCAACGATACCCTCCAAAAACAACACATGGAACCTAAAATCTGAAAGGGGTCTCGTGTTTGCTTTTGGGAGGGTGTTGCTCAGACGGGACAATGTCAACATGAAATCGGCCATGTTCCCTCCCAACAGATACCCACCAACATCAGCCCAAAGGCAAAGCATGAAAACCTGAGAATCTCTAAGAGGGAGGAAACTGAGTTTCCATTCAGGTTCCATGTTTGTTGTTGGGGGCCAAAACCGCCTGAGCGCTCACCAATTGGCAACTTCCCTCATCCAAGCGGCCAGCAGCGGATGCCGCCACTTGGCCATGGCGCGGCCCATTGCTTTTGGGTTCCAGCAGCCACTTCAAGAGGCGGTTTGCGGTTTCACCAGCTCAACCAAGCCCAAAACAGAACTCAAAGTGATCTTCCCCTGGAAGTCGAAACTGCTTGCCCAAAGGATCTGGAAATCAAGGTGCACTTTTCGGGAACCGTACAGGGAAACCCAGCAGGGGAAGGGCAACACGGGCTGGCTCTGGTCAACTGAGCACATCGTTGGAACTCCCGGCCGGGGGGGGGGGAACTGATTGCGTCTGGGCTGGGCTTTGTCCCTTTGCCGCCGGCTTGGGGGAGCACAAGGCCTTGGACCGCCCTTTGGGGCAAGGGGACACGGGCCAAGGTTTCTGCAAACGGCCATGGAGAATACGGCTGGGGTCCTCTCCCCAGCAGCCCACGCGCCCTAAAGAGCCAACGGAAGCGCGCAGGCACTTGTTTTCTCACATCTCGATTTCTGATTGGCCTCTCTTGTACTTGGCCGTGTCCGTTTGGTTATAGATTGGGTTTCGCATCAAGTGGATGGTTGGCAAAAATTATGCCGTGAGACGAGCCGATTTCTGGGGCACGCACGCCGAGGCCCCCCAACAGCAAGGGGCTGTCAACGCGGGTGATTAGACAAGACGCATCCCTTCGGTAAGGTTGTCGGTAGTAAGAAATACCGCACAAAGCCCCTTGCTTGCATCTTGTTGGCTAAACGGGGCCTGTGCGCCAGACCCATGTTTATTGGTGGGAGGGTAGTTGTTGAAACGGCATTCCCGCAGAACCAGAATCCATTTCCAGATGTGGGGGTGGCTTGCCAAATAGTGATCTTCAAAGGAAAGTATGATGCGTTGGTCCGTCCGAAGGTGTGCATCACCCCTTGCCAAATATGTTTAAACCACTCCAGGCTGGGGTGTTCAAAAATTCTGGATCCCTAATTCCAATCCGTAATCTGTAGTTGGCACTTACAAGAAGAGCATAACACTGCCATCTTCAGGATCAAACAGCCTGGCCCTCCAAAGGATATATAACGCAGAGGGGCGTGCAGATTCGGACCCCTAGTTCCGTTTCCTCTGCTCCGTCCATTCCGCGCCTTGTGCAGGGCGTCGCAGGCCTTCGCCTTCAGTTCCGCGAGCTGCAGCTCCGCTTCCTCGACAGCGGCGGATGTGTTGCTGGGGACAGGGCCCTCAAACAGCTCCTTGGAGGCCCGGCATGAGCCGTGGGAAAAAAGTCGCCAAAAGGCGACATGGTACAATTACAAGTGACCTCTGGGTTCTGGCCGGGGGGCCTGGGGGGTTGGCGCACAGCAGCCCGAGGCACTTTCCGGTGTCAGAAACATGGCCCCTTCTTGGACCGGGAGTGCACGAACCCCTTTTCGAAGCCAAAACTCCGCTTGGAAAGGGCTTCGGCGCATGTGTGAGAGTAAACAAGCCAAACAGCAGGTCCCGCCTCCCCTTGTGGCGGCGGAGGGGCTGACTTGGCCTGTGGAAAGGCCAAAGAAGCCAGCAATGAGGCAAGGGCCCTGTTCGCAGTCACCCCACATCTTCCCCCCGTTCCATGAATGTCCCTTATTCTTGCCATATCTGCGACCCGGCAAACAGCAAAAAACAAAAACGAACCGCTAACCAAACCCTCCAAGTCACTTTTCCATCCTTTTCCACCCCCTGTGGAGTGGTTAGCAAGGCTCCCATGGGCAAACGTCAAGGCTGCGGACAGCTTTGCGCGCTGGCTTCCCACAACTGTCCACTCGACGATCTGAGTTTCAATGACCACTCAGGCTGACGAAATGAGAGAACATCCACCCGCCTGAATTCAGGCATTCGGCGGCTTCATCATTGATCATGGGCCCAGAATCACGAATTGTTCTCCCTATTTCGGCGAGCTCGCCAGTATCCGCGCAAAACCAAGTCAGTAATTTCCATCCGGCAGGAGGATAAAGGAAACTTATGTTGACGGCAAGTAAGTAGCTGGAAGTAGCTCTAAACCCGACCAGCTGCGAGGTTCCGGAACCCCTTGCCTGCTCCGGCGGCGCGGGTGCTTCTTCCATTTGGTCCTCACGGCTCCATGCCCCAGCTCGCATGCAGACTCGGCAGGTCGAACCGGCGACTTTGGTCACGCAATCCAAGGTGATGTGAGTTGTCGTTTTGTTCAACAAGTGCAAAATACCAAACAAACACATGGAATTGGGATGCAAAGGCCGCCCCGCAGAAGGTTGGCTTGGGGCCGTCTCTATTGAAACTGCCCCTATAGGGTTCAAGAGATCTCGCATGCACCCGGTCCTGTTGCAACATCTAGAGACCCACACTGAACGGATTTGGGTGGCCTGAACCCAAAAAAGAGCCATCAACGATTTGGCATGCCTGAATATTTCCTCTTTTTGCGCGGCACCCGAACGATCACTTTCGCTTTGAAGTGAACAAGTGACCCGTTTGGGGGCGCCAAGCTCATCCCACCCCGCACGCCCGCTCCGGCAGTGCAGGCGCCTCCTCCTGCCGTTGACGCCGCCCCACGGGGGGTTAGCAAAACAGAGCGGTTCAATTGAGCTGCAACAAGTATCACGTCCAGAACTCACAAAAACAGGATCCTTTGCATTGGGGGAGAATGGCCTACCTCGATGAATCCTGCACTTTTGAAGGCCCTCTGGCTCAACACCAAAAAAAACTTCTCCGTTGCCTAACGGACCTGTAACTGACGGGTATGTCTTTGGGGAACATGCTTGAATCGGGTTACCGCAGAACCACGCTCCTTAAGGCATCAACTACGACGGACACATACAAACAGCAATATTGGGTCAAATTTGGATGCTACAAGAATCGCTACCCAGGCTGTTCGAAAAGGTTCGTTGCTGGGACCCTGGGCAAAAACAAGTGATGTGTTTCTTACTTCCGTGTGCATAGGACACCTGTGGGATCCTTTTGGCAGGAGTGCAAGAAAAACCAGGAAGTGGGTCACAACAGGTAACCTCCACAAAACAGTAAAATAACCACAAGTCCACCCCCCCCAACATCCCCACACAGGGCAGAACCAGCCCCAGCTGTCACTTTTCTAAAGGCGCACAGCTTGAGCTGACTCGCCAGGCTTGGCACTTGCAAGCGGCCGCGTCATCGCATGAACTTGATGCATGGATGCTCCACGTCCGCGAGGAGAAGCATTTTTGTTTCACGGGCAAGGCGAGTAAAACACACATGTATATACTTAGAAATACATGAATGAATATAGATATTATACATGTATATATATATATAAATATATATATATACATATATACATATATATATAGCATGACGCTAAGCATTGGGAAATCCAGCTGCCCTTCATGAGCCCAACGGCCCTCGTTTGCCCCGCGGTGTGCTTCGCCGGTTCTGCCTCGTGGCTTCTCCCGGGCTGGGAACAGGGTTGGGCCATTCAACCACTTGAAACATGTTCCAACCCAGAGAGTTTCAAACCCTCAGCTGTCTGTTTAGACACATTTTGCCCAACCCAGGAGTCAGGGCTCCCTACTCTTCCCCCTGAAATGTAGGGAGCCCAGTGGGTGGCACGGGAGGTCCCGAGCAGCCGGACTTTCGCAAGAATAAATATACAACTATCTATACATAGCGTCCACTACAACATGAACATGAACAACCACTTGGCAAAGAGTTTAAACCTTGGCAGTCCAAATCCCAAGCCTGGGACGGCACTTGGTATGAGGTTCCTGGAATCACAATGAGAATTGGGTGTCTCTTTTGAGAGTGCCCTTTCTTGGACAGTTTTAGAGGGACACTAAGAGAAAACCACCCATCTTTTTGGGAGAGGTGCCTATTTCAAATTATTATGAGACAAAGCCGATCAACTGTTACTTGCCGCCGCAAGGTGCCAAAAGCGCCCGTACACTTCAATCAGAATCGTTCGATCGTTTGCGTTCCTCCCCATTCCTGTACTGCTGCCTTTGCCGGGCAGAGCGGGCAACTTAACTATGCACATGTTGTGTATTTCACCAAAGGCGACCGGGGACCTCCAGGGCACACATTTTGCCAACTGCGAGCACGGGCACGGGGCCGGATCACCGTAGCAAGGTCCCATTGGAGGACAGTCCACGAGACTCACACAGCGTCAAGAACTCACCATGCAAACAATGAGGTAAGCTGATATAAATGCTTAAAAAGAAAAGGTCAGCAATAATAACAGACTAGCAGATAAACTCATATTAGAGATGTGGAAAGACAACCAAATACATAATAATCGATAAGCATGCAATGCTAGTAAGGTTTGTTTACTCCCAAGCGACCACGCGACCTTGCATCTGCAACAACAAATGTGCCTTTATTGATCTTTATTGAAACGTCCGCAGGGCAGGTGAAGGACCGTCACCGCCGGGTCCGCTGCCTTCACACTTTCATTCATCAGTGGCATTAAATTGGCTTCTTGGCGGGCACCCTTTTTGAAGGGATTCCCGCTCACATGCGCGTCTCCTGGGTTGGTTTTTGACCTCCAAAAAGTTTGTAATTGTCCCCCAAAGGCTTAAAAGTTCAACCGTCGCACCGTGCAAGTAGATGGCGCAATTCCACTTATGTGGCTAAAAGGGCATTTTGAAACCAGGGCAGTGCAAACCCAACTGGGAAGTCATTTGCCAAAAAAAGACGTCAAAGGTGGTACTAAAGAGCAACCAGATGTCTTTCTCCAGCGGCTCCACCTCCATCACCTTCGGCGTCGGCGGCTCCATCACCGTTGGCAGCTCGATTGGCTCCACTTCGTTTAGCTCCTCCGGCTCGAGCCTCAGTCACTGGTCCCCTTATGGGTGTGTTTTTTCAGGAACCCCCAAGGCGGTGGTTTTCATTTTGCTTTCCCTTGAAAACCACAAAGCAGGGGTAGCCGCAAAAACGACACACCCATACCAATGCCCGGCTTCATCATCTGCGAAAAGTGGGCCTAATCGTTCTTTCTCCCCGGCACAGGCGACCATTGCAAGCAAGTCCCGCACTCATTTCTGGAGCCACGCCTTCAAGTTCATAAGTTTAGATGGCTTCAACCCACCCCCAAACTTGCAATCAACTCTGGGCCCTTACAATTGGGCAGCACCCAGCTATACCCACCTATTGTCACTTGGCTTTTACACCAAATCCATGTGAAAGTTCACAGGTCCGAATTACATCCCCAATGCGGCAGCAGACCTGGGCGTTCACTTTACATTGCGTTTAAATCAGCCGTGATAATTTTGGGGCTGGCGAGGCCCTCGTGGATTGTGATGCATGCTCCAATGCTCTCTGCTTTCCCGACCTGCCCGCCCTTGGAACCATTTCCACTAACCCCGAAAGTATAGAAACACCCTTTCTCTCAATTGGAACATCCATACATCCAGCTTTGTCTCTACCTGGCGGGGGACGCCCCGGTCGTTTGAAAACAGCTGCCCCTCCAAACAAAGTACGCATCATCCAGCATTTGCATCGTGGTTTGGCGGCAATATTATACTGCCTGGCCACATAATGAGAATTTCACCGTAGCAACATTGCTTCGCCCCACAAATCTGCAACTCTAGACTCATGCCAAGAGTGAAAAGGGGATCCCCGAGCATGATGAGCCCAGGCTACAAGCCTCTGAGACAGGCGGCGGCTTCTCCTTCTGCCGCAGGTCCGAGATGCGCATGACGGCCCCGAACTGAGGCGGAAGGGCTGTCAGCCGACCAAGGGGG